GCCTGGCCGCGGTCATCGCTCGGGTCCCGCGGCCGCCGCCCGCCCGGGGGCACGGCGGGGCCCGCCGCTTTGTGTGCCCGCGCGGCGGGCGGGCGTTGGGCGCGGGGCCGCAGCCGCGGGGCGGCAGGGGATGCGCCCCGGGGGCGCCCACCCCGCACACGCGGGTCTGACAGGTCGGCCGCCGCCGGCGGCGGGCCGGGGCCACCCCGGGCACCTGCGTGGGGAGCTACGAGGTCCCCGGGCGGAAGGAGTGGCTCTGGTTTCCCCGCAGTCTGGTTTGCACGTAAAGAATGCAGCCATCTGGCGGCTTGCGGTCCCTGGACTTGCCCCGAAGGTGGGAAGGAAGCCTTTCGGATTGGACTGAGGTTTTAATCATCGGTGGTGGGAGGCGGGAGGATGTGCAGAGCCATAAGGAACAGTAGTCTCCGAGAACAAAGAATTACGAGCACCCCCAAATCGTAATCGCGCCCAAAGTACTATAACAAGACAAGGTTAGGTAGCCGGCGACCTTTAAAAAAATGGCATCCCACTAATCCGCATGGACTCCCTAGTTCCACGATTCGTGGCACAAATCGCTGGGGTGGCTTCAGCTCGCTTAGAATGGAAACGTAGAGTGATGAGATAAACTGATCAATAATAGCAGTGGCATTAGTAAGTAGAGGTTTTATTGGTAAAGTATTGAAAGTTTAACCAGAATTCCTTAAAAGGCAATTATTCCTTCTCTGCACTGCTCTGGTAGCTTAATTTAAAGATTATATCGATGCAAAACTCTGTGGTTGTTGATGCCAAAGAATGGAGGTTGGAGGAAGGGACTACTGCTTTTCTTGGATACAAATTTGCATTTCTTCAAACATTAAACAGATGTATGTATTCCCTTGAGTTTTCACATACATCATAACCTGCCTTTAAGAAAATATATTCCATATGAAGCAGTAGTGTTTTTCTTCAATGTACTGAACCTAAATATATACTCAATCAAGTATTTGAGCGACTAGTGGGGCTCTCACCTGCCCTCCCCATTCTAAGCCAAATATATATAAATATGTGTGTGTGTGTGTGTGTGTGTGTGTGTGTGTGTATAATATTTTAGGTGTTGTGAGCATTATTTTTTAAAGTCATCCTAACCTTTTTTTTTGGGGGGGGGGGTAACTACAAGGAAGAAATTTTACTGGGCAGCTTTGGTTCTAGAAAAGAGGGCACTCTATGAAAAGACATTGGAAATTACTTTTAAGATTATAGCAAATGTCAGGCAGTCTTTGCTGACACTGCCTGGACCCGTTAGTGGCATTTTAAAAATTAAGCTCTGTGGCTACAATTTTTTTCTGCTCTTTACTAGATTTCATGCTTGAATGCAAATCAGTATTTCTTTTCCCTGTAAAATTAACACTAGAAAGATGTGTTTTTGTTCTATCAAGCCCCCCCTTTAATTGTTTCATTGAAAAAAGGAAAAGAGCAAATGAGAAATGAAGGTTGTAACATTGTAATTGATACTAATTTATTCAGCTATTTATTCCTTGAGGTGAGACTGAAGTGCCATTCAGATGAAAATTTAGTCCAAAATGTTGGTGCTTCAAAATGATAAAAAGGGGCTTGATTTTGTGTGTATGGTTTTTTTGTTTTGGGGGTGGGGGCAGGGGGTATATGTTCTCTGGACAGCATGTATGTTTTTCCCAGTATAATCTAAGGTACTAAATTTAAAAGCATATTCTGAGATAAATGTCCCCTTTTTGAGCTTTTAAACACCCAAATCTCACTCTGAAACTTTAAGAAAACTGTCATCAAAAAATTATGTTGATAAGTGGAGTATTTGTGTCCTGCCTGTTAATATTTCAAGTAATTTAGATGTATAATTTTCAGTCTCTTACACAATATATAATTTGGACATTATTTGGTGAACTGTGATGAATATTTATGATGAGCGTGACTAAATTCAGGGTTACATTAGAAAAGCATGGAATTAACTTTTTTGTAAGTTCTCCAAAATAAATCTTCTAATTCAATAAGCATTCATTGGGTGTCTGCTTTTCAATCTCCATTGACTAAGTAGTAGACAAAACTGTATGCATCCTCTTTAATTTTACTAGAAAAGAAAACCTGTATACTATACATTTAATAGATTTTTTTTTTTTTTTTAGGTTGAAATTGGACGGAGATTGGATACCTTTTTAGATAGGTGTTCTTGAGCACCACTGACAACACGGTTCTGACAGTATTTCATGACAGTAAGTAGGTCTTACCATTTTGGTTGTTAATTTGGTATGAAGAGTAATTAGCTGAAACAAAATTATCCATTGGAGATTCCTGATACACAGTGAGTGCCTTTCAAGTCTAGACAAATAGCCCCTCTGCTCATTGCCATTGTGTCCTTATTTTTGGTTACTTAAATGTTGAGTGGTTCCCGTGGATTCCTAAGTGCTACTAAGGCTACTGGTAGCAGCCTGTCCCAGCTTTGTTTAGGAGCTATCTGTTGAGCTGATAGCACTTTAGTCAAACTGAATACTGACCTCTGTCAGTGTTGTGCTGAATGGAACACGCTAACTCTCAATGCAGCGCAGATGGAAGAGAGGTATGATGGGCAGATAGTTGGGAATGTCATGGAAGGAGCCTGGGGGCCTGCAGGATGGGTTGAATTTGGATAGGTGGAGGGTTATGACCAAAAGCAAAAGCCTGGAGGTAGGAATGAGCCCTTGCTTAAGGGATGGGGGACAGGGGTACACAGTTTGAGTGGGAATTTCACAGAATCATGTACTGAAGACACCACTTGGCCATCTGGATATTTAGTTCTGGTTCTGCTACAATATCTGTGACCTCGGGCATATCACAAAGTCTTTGAGTCATGAATACCTCACTCTGGAACATTCTAGTACTAAAATTTTTATTAGTCCTTAAGATAGAGTGGGAAAGAAGTTTAGTTAGGTTAAGTGGGGGATCTGCTCTTATAAAGCTGAGAAAAGGAGGTTTGGACTTGATGCAGAAAACCTTTAGGAACCTTAAAGAACAGGTTCAAGAACTATGGAACCAATGTTATAGTAAGTGTATTAGTCATAGTACAACAGTTAAGGTGTGTCGGCAGTAATCCAGTGGAAATAGAAAAGGAAGGGCATATCCGGGCGATACAGTAAAAGATGTAACAATGAGTTAGTCTTGAAGGAGGTGGACCCACTTTGAGAAGACTCTGGTATATTTAGTCTGGAAGAGGGAAGGGTCGTACTGTTCCTCATAGAGTGGCAATAGTTGAAAAGCAGATCTTCCTTGCCCGCCCCCTGTAGTGGGTGGGGGAGGTGAGTTTCATTTCCCATTATCTTAGTTTGCGATGATGGAATATCAACACATTCTACACTGTGGGCTGTTTATGTGACAGGCAAAATAGTGGTTATAGGTTTGAGATTTATGAGCATAGAGGTGATACTTAATGAGTTCATTAAGATAGTAAGGGAAAGAGGGAAAACAATAACCTTGGATGGAAACTAACAATTAGAGGAAGGGAAGAAAGAATAAACTAGGTGCGGTTATTCCTTTAGAAGTAGGCAGTGGCAGGCGCCGCAGAGATGTCAAGTAGGATGAAGGCAAGGGCGCTGGCAGCTTGGAGAGTGGTGTCGTGTGACGTAGGTCAAAAAGCAGATGGCAGGGAGTGGAGAGGTATGTAAGGACTGCATGGCAGGGTGACCATGGTAGCTTCACAAATGGTGGCATATAATTAAGGTTTTCTTTACGTGATGAGGGAGATGACAAGTTTAAGGAAATGCAAAGAAGCTAGCAGGGAGAACTGAAGACACATTAGAGATGAGGAATTCTTGTATTATTTCTTATCCTAAAACAGAATGTGATCCACAGAACAGTTAGAAAGATAAGTCATATGTGTGAGAGAGACAGAGAACTCCTTGTGCCTAGAAAGAATTGTATTTGAAGAGATAAAAATCATACCAGGTTACATTTGTGGTTCTTGCTATGTGTTT